ACTTGACCATATGGATATAAAAATGTAAAGCCTTAGTAGCTATTGTCTATTTCTCAGAAATTTGTATATCTCCTTCTTCTTAATTGCCTCAACAACCCCATGGTGGGACAAGCCGGTCTCCTTACTGGCAGATTTCGAGATTTGAGAGGGGTTTTTACGGTGTAGGTTGTCATCCTTATTCCTAACAATCATATTATACTGGAACCTACGGTTCAAAGTAGATTGCAAGCCATTACAAACATTCATGGCACCACCGCCAGAGAGCTGATCACTCGGTCATTAGCCCCACAAATTATTTTTAAGTTTTTAAATGGGCCCCAACTTCAAAAAAATTTGAAAACCACCGTTGTGTGGAAGTGGAAGTCTCCGGTATAAAAGTGAAAACGATGAAACTCAATTACTAATTAGGAATACTAGTCAGATATGCGCGGCGTAAAGCAATTTTGAAAGAGGAAAGTTAAAGAGTTAGTTTGTGATTTTTTCATCTGTTTTGCTTTGATATTATGCAATTTAATTATTAGTTTTAAGTATTAAAAATTAAAATTATTTTTATTATAATTAAAACCCCTGTCTTTATGCATTGCTCCCACTATTAAGACTGCGGCCTGATGGCTAGTTATCTGGCCTTTGGTACCACAGGCTATCAAGTTCGAATGGATGTTTATTAGTGGTTCGGAATCCACTTTAAACTGTGGGTCCCGGGTCTGTTTAGCCCACGTATGCACAAGAAGACCGTAGAGCTGGAAATCAAACCAAAGCTTTCTGTTTGAATCTATTTGACTTGGCCGCTTGCCAATTTTCCAAACAATTGGTGGTCGGACAATAATTAACTTCTACTATAATAAGTATGATTGACTAAAATTAACTATAATTAACTGTTAACATGAGATAAACTTTGTTTTAATTGATGTTTTGTAAAGAATCCATATAACCGTAGTTTGTAAGGTTGATTTCCATTTGCTTACAATACATCGCAATTCACAAAGATTACTTTAATTTTAATAAATATTAGGAAAATAATGTAATTCATAGTTTGGAAGATTTATTTTTAATTAATGAAATGTTCTATTCATAGAACAAAAAAATTCTATGAATAGGATGTGTTTTTTAACTTTTAAGGGCATTGGATAGTATTAAGCAAAATGAATGAAATCTGGCTTTTAAAAAACGCAATTGCGATATTTTAAAAATATTTTTGTATTAAATTATAGAAAGAGCATAACAGGTTATCTAGTTTAAATCTTACATGCTCTATAAGAAAAACTTACAGGCTGATGCATTAGAAAATTATATTTTAAGAATACTGGTAATTTACTAGAAATTTTTTAAAAAAACTTTCAGATAAAAGGTTAATATAGTGAATAAAATAGTTAAATAAAAGAAGTAAATACTTAAATACCAGAAAAATATTTTATTCAAAGTTTTTTAATTTATTGCAGACTAGAAAATAAATTTTGCTAATAAACCGATGTAGACCGCTTATCTGCATCAATTTTTTTCAATTCCTTCCATTAGCTCACACTCTCCCTATATATATCTTGTTCAAATTTTCAATCGTTCATAAAATACTTTTTATTCGTCCACTCAAGTTCAAATACAATTTTTTTTGAACTTGTAGTGGATGACACTGGATGCTTATACAGTTTTTTCAAATATTAATCCAGTCATTAAATTTAATTAATTAATTTTAGTTTTTTTAGATTTAAGTTGCATATATCTACCAATAGATGGCGCCAGATTAACTTAAAAAAATGAATGAAAATTACTTATAAAGGACTTTTTGCAATATAGTGAAAAAAAAAAAAAAAAAGAAAGAATTGGTTTTAATTTTTTTTTATATCACTTGTTATGATTTCAAACATGAATTTTAATCTGTTTAATGCTGATTTTTAACGCAATAGTCGTTTACAAATTGTAGGTCTAAAAAATTTACTATGCATTTTAATAGATTTTCTAAAGTTCGGTATATGTTTTAAAATTATGTTCAATAAATAAGATGTGACTGTTGCATCATTTTACCCACGGTTCATTCTTTTATTACTAAATGATTTTGATTACATAATGCAAAAAAATTGATTATCTTTAAAATGTAAATTGCAAAAAAATTAAAGGGTCTAGCAATATTTTTATAAATGTATTGATAAGTTATTACCGTTTATAAAAATATTTTGAGCTAGCTGAATTATTTATTAAGCAATAAATTCTCTGAAAAGCGTAGAAAGATAATCAGTACTGTTTTAGTACTGTTATGAACAGAATTTAATATCACACGTTTATGATTGCAATAATCTACTTACAAAACTTCCTTTCATTTCAATTAAAGAAGGATCATAATGCAATAACACATGTTTATGAATGCAGCAATTTTAATTACAAAATTTTTTTTTATTTAAATTATAGAATGAGCAGAAGGCAATATCACTCATTTATGATTGCAAAAACTCTGCTTACAGAATTTTGTCTATCAGAATTATAGATAATTGTAATTACAAATGAATCTTAATTTTTCAATTCCTACTGTTAGTATAAATATATAGGAAGAGTCCCTATATATATCTTGTTCAAATTTTCAATCGTTCATAAAATACTTTTTATTCATCCACTCAAGTTCAAATACATTTTTTTTTTGAATTTGTAGTGGATGACACTGGACGTTAATGCAGTTTTTTCATATATTAATTCAGTAATTGAATTTAATTAATTAATTTTAGTTTTATAGGGGAAAAAAAATTTCTCTTATATAAGATATTTAGCAGGATATAAATTTAGGAATAAATATCGTCAGTGGCGAAGCGTGTAGATCGCTGGAAAAAAATTTCTTTTTCAGATTCTTTTTTCATTCTGGGTTCTAGTCTGAGTCAGGAAGGAAACAAAATGGAAAATGAAACATGTGTGTAAATGAGTGAGAGAGATGGAAAGTGTGTATGTGTGAGAGAATTCTTTCTAATTTAAAAAAAAATGAATGAAAATTAGAAAGCGAATAAATAGTAACAAACAAAAATAGTAGTCCAACACAATATGTAGAAAGGAAATTAGAAAATTGCAAGGAAATTCGTTTTCTATTTTGCCACTTAATATTGTGATTATGTCATATGAATATACATATTTATATTAATTGTAATTATTTAATAAAAAGTAACTAAAATAAAATTTTTTTTGTTGACCAAAGTGGGAATTGACTTTTACAATTTTTTTTTATATTACTTATTTGTTGTTATTTATGAAAACTTTAAAAAAAATATTGCAATCATTTTGTTATAATATATAAAAGATTTGTCGAAAAATGAAGCGATATTTGCTTCTATATGAAATGTGTTTGAAGATTCTACTACGTTTTACATTGCTATCAAATTGAAAATAGAGTTAGAATTACGAATTACATATTTGAATTTTCCCACTCATAAAGTGAGAAATCATAAATTCATGCAAAAAATCATACATTCATGCAATCTAAAATTACTAAAATTTATCAAATAACTACCGCCAACGCTTTTATTTTTAAGCCACCTCCAACACCATAAACCTCTTTGACTGAAGCTTTCCAGGTTTTATTTTTTTGATAAACGCGATCACTAACTTCAAAAATAAAAGCAAACTCGCCCACTCTACCTTAAAAAACTCTTCAGAAAACACGCAAATCACCCCATTAAAAAAAAGACAGTTCTTCATTCTGAACTGTCCTTCGATTTCGTGGCGTTTGCGAAAGCGTCTCAAGGTCAAGTGCGCTCAAGTTTTAATGCTCGAGCATTCAAGAGCTTCTTGAGGAGTCAGTGCCAAGATGTCACTCATTGGGTTGCCCATTAAAGATGGGAGAAAAAAGAAAGTTGTAAGAGAACTTGTTGATTGAACACGACGCAAACCGTGGGGTCAGAAGTAATTCGAGAAACTCATATCCAGTAAATAACTGACAAAGTTAAGTTAAAATCCTGAAAAGTTGGAGTGGCCCAACGCGTGAAAAGTTATACTCATTGAATAAATTACCTCATTGTCTTTAGGTCACGTGAATTTGCATATCATATTGTGTGCTTAAGTGTTTAATCAATCTTCGTCTGTTTTCGTAACTAGTTAACTCGAATAACAATGCTCAGAGAGTGACACAAATTAATGCGTTAAAAAATGGTTGAAACAAACTTACAACATATTTTTAAAAGTTTTACATTGTGACAAATGGGTAAGGATTTTATAATATGGTTTTTTTAATGTCTCAAATTTAAATAAAAAGTAGGGCCTGAATGGCCGAGTGGCTCGCGCTTTGGCGCTCGGTACCACAGGTTTCGGGTTAAAGTCCCGGCGGTGCCATGGATGTTTGTAGTGGTTCGGAATCCACTTTAAACCGTAGGTCCCGGTCTAATAGGATCGTAGAGCGTTGCGGGGGCATTGTTACTCCGCTTCCGTGGCTTATCTTCAAGTGACACGCGCCCCTGAGTAATGCAAAGTGAGTAACGTCTGTGCAGCACTTGCCTTAAGGCATCCAAGACCAAGCTGTCTAAGTTTTTGCCAACTGCATTGGAAAGAAAAATTTAAAAAAAAGTATGCATATATTTAATTATAAATATAAGCATATTTTTTTACATTGGGGGACTGTTGGCTGATAAGTCAGATAAGGGTCTGTCGACCGAGTGGTAAGCGCTTTGGCCTTCAGGTTAAAATACTGGCGGTGGCATGGATGTTTGTTAGGGGATCGGAATCCACGTTAAACTGTAGGTTCCAGTCTAATTAGCCCAAAGTGTGTATAAAATGACCGGAGAGCGACAAACCGAACCAAATCGTAAAAAGGAAACATCTTCTGTCTTGAAATCTGCCAGTAGACAGATGGCTTTGGTCCACCATTGCGCCGATGATGATGATATTTGATAAGAAAATTCTTAGTGTTGTGATACAATGTTTTTTCTTAATTGACGCAACAGCCTCATAGTGGGAAAAAGCCGTCTATCTATTATTACTGGCAGATTTCGATTCAGGAGATGTTAGTCTTTTTACGGGGTAGAAATGTTAAGACAACGGCAATACCATGCTGAATATACCGGTTCTTGTTAGATCACCGAAGTCAAGCATCATTAGGGCTTGGGTGGGTGACCACCTGGGAACACCACGTGCCGTTGGCATTCACAAATTTGGGACCCGAATGGCCGAGTATCTAGCGCTATTGCGCTCGGTGCCACAGGTTTCGGTTTCGAATCCCGGCGGTGCCATGAATGTTTGTAGTGGTTCGGAATCCACTTTAAGCCGTAGGTCCCGGTCTCCTATGACTGTAAGAGCGTCACGGAGCCAAAGTCAGGCTTCTACCTACTTGTGCTCCATCACAACAGAAGCTGCTTCCTTCCCCTTCAATCATGAGTACGTATGGGCTCGTGGGCTTGGCCAAAAAAGTGGGATAAGAAACAACAAAAAACAAACAGGAATGTTAACCCTATGGTCCAACAATCATATACGATAGGGACTTACGGCCTTAAAATGGATTCCGAACCACTACAGACATCCAAGGCACAGACCTGTGGCACCGAACGCTAGTCATCAGGCCCAATATAATGCCTTCTGAAAATGCAAAAAGTATTTCACATTTGTATTTTATAATATGGAAATTCGGTTTCATCGCTCTATGGTCAATTGTTTTGCATTCTTTAGTTTAATTAGTCCAGCACCTACAGTTTAACATGGATTCCAAACCACTCAGAAACATCCATGCCACAATCGGGATTCGAACCTGAAGCCTGTGGTACATAAGACCAGAGCGCGGCCAACTGGCCATCCAGGCCGTTTATAATATGGAAAATTATTAACAACGAAAATTGTATCCATCTGTAGAGTCGACAGGGTGGTAAAAACGTGAAGAAATGATATCTTGTTAGTGATTCTCGAAAGTGAAATTGTTTTTAAATTTAAAAATTTTAAGATTCGCCATTAGAATTTTTCCATTCTGTCTTTCTTCTGAAAAGAAATATTAAAATTTTTTTTAATCTTTTTATCCGACGAAAGAATAATAATAAAAAAAATAGATAAATAAAAATGAAAAATACAAAAACAAAATTTTGAGTGGGTTGACTTATTGAAATTTCACTTCTGATAATGCATGATTTCTATGAAATCCGCATTGAAATTCAGTAGTTCTTACAATTCCATCAAAGAGTATATTTTCTAAGGGAAGGTAACATAAGACGTATCTATAACAAATATATTAATATTTATTAAAGATATATAAAGCCAAAAAAGCAGCCTTCATTGTTATTTCTGAGAAGTCTCATCGATTTTATCTTATGAATGAAATTATAAATATTTTGTGGAAAATTTTATTTTGTAGCGTATCTCTTTTTAAAAAGAAATTGAACCTTTACTAAATTATTACAACAATTTAAACACACCTTCTATATCCTATGATGTATTTCTATAAGAAAAAATTAAGTAGACCTGGATAAAAACGTATTGATTATAATTATTGATCATAAATTTTCAATTTTAGTGAAAAAAAAAAAAAAACGTGGCAAAAAATACCGATCCTTTAAAGGATTTAACACTTTAATTAAGAAATTTCTTCAACATGTTGAATAAATATAAGGACGTACTACCTATAAATATGCCTCTATTCATATTGAACAAACATACCTACCTACTACCTATATTATTATTATTCTTATATTATCTAACAAATATTTACAAAATCACCTTAAAAGAAAATTTATTTAAGGCCCTTTTTACTCTGGTACTGTGTACTTTGTAATTGGAAACAAAACATACACTCATGTCCATAAATTAAGGATAATTCAGAATCACACAGAAATTGAACTCTAAAATAAAAATTTCACCTGTAGAATTATCACACACATCTTGAAGAAGAATATGCATATTACAGGAAACCACTAGATGGCGCGGATAGTACGTCACAATGACGAGAGTGTAAGAGAGGGGTATATAAGGAATGGTGGCAAAGAAGTACAATTGTTCACAAGCGCTTTAAAAGTCTTTTCAGTGCAATAACAACATAGTTATGGCACAAAGGAAGCATTTGGATGATTTTTTACGTGGTAGAATTATCGGACGACAGGAATGTGGACGTACCCAGCTGGAAGTATCCGAGGAACTTGGAATCGCCCAGAGTGTCATCTCCAGGCTTTGGCAACGATTCCAAGATGATGGTAATGGGAGTAGATGTTACAGCACAGGTCGCCCCCGAGTTACAACGCCGAATGAGGACCGGTATTTAGAAGTTACTGCCAAAAGAAACTGACGGAGCACAGCATCAGACCTGTCTCGTCAGCTCTCTTCAGCTACCGGTACGACAGTTCAAGGCAGACCGTGTACAGACGCTTAGGGCACATTGCACATATGCTCGTAGGCCTGCGTAGGCAACCATCATACTAACCATGTTATACTGTTTTTTGTAAATAGGTTCTTTTTTGAAATTTGCTCCAAGGAGTAAAAATCGCAATTTTTATTAATTATGTCAAACATATGCGTTGTCAGCGTTGACCAATCACTAACCTCACCACGTTCGCCTGAAACCGGTTTGAAATCCACCGCTTCCAGTTGACCAACTTTCAACTCGAAGCGGAACTACACTGGGCGTAAAGCGATTTCTGACGTTTCGTTGTGAATTTTCGAAAAGTGTCGAAAAAATTTTCTTCCCTGCCGCATAACGCGTCGTCGCCTCACGCCTCGGTGGGAACGAGCCTTAAGGGTCAATTTGTTCTTGACAGAAAGATCCATTAACTTTGAACTCATCCCCGTTGGTTATTTAGTTTGTTTCGAAAGGCATGGCGAATCCTTATTCTGATTATACACAAAATCTGCTTATAATCGTAAACATACTATATTTTCTATTATACATACATATACATACATATTATACATACTATATATTCAATAAATTGTCTAATTCCAATTCTATAAATTCTATATTACCTTCTACAGATTTCGTCTAGATTCTATATTCTTTAAATCGTTATCTTCTAAAATTCTATACACATTTAGTTGCTTGTTAAACAGGTTTCAGTTGATATATTTATGTTTTGTTTTCAACTACATTGCTTCTGGAAATATAAATACGAATTATTAATGATACGTATCATGAAAAAACTTCCAAACTGAATATGAAGAATTATCAGTGATACACATCTGTCTGCTGCAGAACAATTTATTCGAACAAAACGTCAAGTCTTCTTCGTTATCTCACAGATCTTCAGACATCTTCCAAAACGAATAAAAAAGAAACACGGAGAAGTCAGAATAAACTTAAGAAAAAGCAAAGAAATTCGCTTTAGTACCTAGTCTTAGTCAAAGAACCACAGCAATAATCGTTAATTGTAACATCACATTTGATTTAAATATAAACAAAAAATTAATGTTTGATGATTTGTGTGTTTGTATAAGATTTTAACTGCATGTTTCTAATAATCCAAAATCTTAAGCAAACATATGGATTATATTACTCGCAAGAGATGTCATTATTATTTTCTTGAAAGAAACTTGTTATTATAAAAAACAGTAATTCATTACAATTTTGTTGAGTGATATTTAATTATTATTCTTTGAGTAACTGCTTTTGGGAAATGTAAACATGTACTATTTCAGCTCTTTGTGTTAAATCGTGTCGCAACGAATTATAGGAATATGAATATTACATGATATTTAACATTAGACAATTAAAACGTTTTTTTTTAAATTTTCAGTAAAAAACCCGTGTCTTTAAACTTTTACTACATTTTTAATTTAGTGAATAATAAATAGTATGGGAAATTAAAAAATATTAAATTTCACGAAATATTTTAATAATTATATTGTGTACTAAATTTTTGTTTATTTTGTGTATAACCCTATTCAGAAGCATTAACAGCTCCAGTGTTAATTTTAATATAAAATAATTTTTTTTTCTAATGCAGCTGGCAAATTAGACAGTTGTCTTTTATGCCATAAGCAAGGGCTGCGCCGACGTTACTCACTTAGCACTACCCAGGGGATGCATGTAACTTGAAGATAAGCTAAGTAACAATATCCCACCAACGCTCTACGATGCCATTAGACAGGGGCCTATGGTTTAAAGTGGATTTCGAACCATTACAAACATCCACTGAACCGCAAGGAGTCGAACCCAAAACCTGTAGCACCAAGCACCAGAGCTCTAGCCACTCGGACATCAGAACATATAGAATACTTAAGAATATAATATAGAATATTTAAGTCAATAAAAATTTTGTGGCAGAAAATAAAAGGCATTGGCAGCAACACAAAAAGGGATACAGTTAAGAACAGTAGGGCATATGAAGGGGTGGTCTCCAGTCATGGGCATGCCAGAACTGCAAAGTGGACAGATATATGTATCAGTCAGTCCTATTCTATATAGGTGACTTTGAAAGTAATCATGGCTAATGACAAATCTAAAGCAGACCACGCCGACCGATCTAGGCAAGGTGACTGTAGGTGGGCAAACTAGGGTGGGCAAACAAGGTGGGCAAACTATATCATAAGATGTCACTTTCATTCAGTTAGCATGGGGGCTAAACGTTTTTTCTTTTTAACCTATACCATCTCCGACGTCTCAGGCATTAGTCGACGACCAGCCCAATACAGTAAAGAATGACAAAAACAATCACTAAATTCATTGATAGTAACACAAACAAGTAATATAAAAAAAAAATTAAGTCAATTCCTACTTTTTTTTTCACTCTATTGTAGAAAAGTACTTTACAAATAAGTTTCATTCATTTTTTTAACTTTATCTGGCGCCATCTAATGGTAGATACATGCAACTTAAATTTAAAAAAAAAACTAAAATTAATGAATTAAATTTAATTACTGAATTAATATTTGAAAAAACTGTATTAACATCAAGTGTCATCCACTACAAGTTCAAAAAAAATGTATTTGAACTTGAGTGGATGCATAAAAAGTATTTTATGAACGAATGAAAATTTGAACAAGATATATATAGGGAGAGTGTGAGCTAATAGAAGGAATTGACAAAGGATACAAGTTAAGAACAGTAGGGCTTATGATGAGGTGTTCTCCAGTGATAGGCACGCCATAGTGGCCAGATATCTGTAGCAGCCAGTCCTATTCTATACAGGTGACACTGCAAGTGGTCATGGCCCGTGACAAATCTAAAGTAGAC